CAACATTGGAAAGCGCTTCTTGGCCATCACACAGCCATTCGATCCGGCCAGACATCCAGATGCTTCGACCCTGTGCCGCCGGCAGATGCGCCAGTACCTGGCCGCCTTGGACAACTTTGATTTGTGGGCCCTGAAGAGTGAGTAAACACAGTAGAGAGAGAGAGACATGCACGGGTTCTAGTTCTGCAAGTGGAGAGCCAATTGGCTGGGTCCGTTCGTTCGTTCGTTAGTTCGGCTCGAATTCGAGTCATTGCCAACTGGCCGGCCGCAGGTGATGCCTCAGTCGCAGTCGCAGTCGGCGTTGGCGTTGGCGTCGCTGCCTGCAACGGCAGTAAGAACGCCAGACGAGTCGACATGAATTGATAGACTCCAAAGTCAAATGCAACAAGCGAGCAAGAGATCTCAGCTGCAAGTGCAAGTGCATGCTCGTGCATGTGGCATTCAGCTAAAGTGAAGGCCAATCGACGAACTTTACCCACATTTGCTGGGGGCAGGCAGCACCAAGTACATACATGCATATGCATGTGTGTATGCATATGCCTGTCGCAGCCACCACAATGCCAACTGCAACAAAATTGCAAGCATCAACAACAATTTCATGCGAACTTGACACAAAAGACGACAGAAACGCGCCAGCGACGTTGACCGACCGAACACAGCTGCTGACAGCGACGCTTAGAACCAGAACGACGCGAGAGAGAGAGACGCAACCGAGTTGCGATCACAGTCAAGGTTACACATACACACACAAATGCACGCAAGCACGCACACGCAATAGAGATGGCACCAACTTACGTACAAGGACTGCCAACTCATGTCCTGGAGCTGCCTAAGAACTGCCCACTTTGTGCTAATCGTATGCTAATTTATTTATATTTCTAACCTTCCCCAACTACACTCGAGCAGTGCACGATTCTAGCGGCAGACTGAACTCCGGAATACTGAATGGCAACATCAACCAGCCGGGCGACTTTGACCAGTGCCTGGGCATCAAGCAGCGGATGCACAGCGAGGACCCGCTCAGAGATGAGGAAACAGTCTTGCGGGGACAGTACTGCCTGGCCTATGCGCAGCCAGTGCTGCCGCACAAGTCCAAGCGTCTGCAGACCTTCTTCAAGCTGATCCAGTCGCATGGACCCTTCAAGAGCGAGTTTAACGATGTGAGTAGTCGTAGAATAAGGGAAGGGAGAGCGCACTTAACCTACAAACTACATGCATACGTACCTCTACATACATGCACATATGTACGTATGTATGCATGTAAAAGTTCGGTTTGATTAACATTATGCTGCTAATATTGGACTAGGCCGCAGTTCGACCATGAACTTGAAGGAGAAAGACGAAAATGCAAACAAAACGAATCGAATCGTTTCGAGTTGAGTCGAAAGCAATCAAACACCGCCATAGATAGCCATAAAATGCAAATCACAGCCGAGACGCCTATGCTCTACGCGGCCGGGGGGCACTGAACCCTACGACTCGACTTTCTTTTGGAATGATGTCACGCCGTTCGGCGCCAATAAGCAGGGATCGGTTAATTGAATTACTTTAAGTCCCGCGGATAACTAGTATTTGTTTAGTATATTATAATTCAAAAACTAATTTATGTATGTTTATTACATTGAGACCCGTTTGAACCGCTTTGTTGCGGTTCAACAGGCAATCGCTAATTGATTACTCTACCCCCCTGGTGTTTCTTTTGCAGCCCGGACATCGTGTGCCCCGCTACTCGCTTATCAACTGGGGACTGTGCGTGCCGTCCGGCTGCTCCGCCCGGGATGTGGAGTACACCGTGGCCGAGTACCTGAGCAACCAGACGGCAGCTACGGGCATCAGCTTCAATGTGCGCGTCGAGCCGCAGATGTGCCAGGTGCGCGATCAGCAGCCTTGGGACCGGAACACCACGTGGGCCGTGCGCTTCTTTGTGCTCGTCCTGTCCGTGGCAATCCTCGCCACCATCTACGATCGCTCCACCAAAACGCAGCCGAAGCAGAGTGAGTGAGACTAGGGACACAGCCGAAGACAAATCGAGCGAATTAACCCAAACAATTGATTGTAGATGCCTGGTGTACGGCCTTCTCGCTGGACAAGAATCTCCGTTGGCTGTTCAGCACCAGCAGCGCACCAGGCGACATTGAGGCGGTCCATGGCATTCGCTTCCTGAATGCCATCATGCTGATCTTCTCGCACAAGTCGATGGCGATGTTCTTCAACCCGTACAACAACCGCACGGCCATGTCCGAGAGCCTGGGCCAGCCGTGGACGGTGATCGGGCGCGCCGCCTCGCTCTACACGGACCCCTTCCTGCTCTTCAGCGGCATGCTCACCTCCTACTCGCTGTTCGGCAGGCTCATGAAGCGTCAGCCCATCCGGCTGAAGAACGAGTACATCAGCCGACTAATGCGGTAAGTCGGACTGGCCAACATATCCCTATCTCGGACTAAACCTAAGTAACTTGTGGATTTATTGTAGCATTGTCCCGCCTCTGGCTGCTCTGATACTGTTCTGCACCTACGTGCTGCCGCTGTGGGGCTCGGGTCCGCAGTGGAACCTCGTGGTGGGCCACCATGCAGACATCTGCAAAAAGAACTGGTGGCGCAATCTGCTCTTCATCCACAACTACTTTGGCTTCAGCGAGATGTGCCTGACGCACACGCACCACCTGGGCATCGACACCGAGCTCTTTGCGGTGGCGCCCATCCTCATTCTGGGTCTCTGGCGCTGGCCACGTCGTGGCCTCTTCACACTGCTGCTGCTCTGCACTGTGGGAACGGCGGCTCGCTACTACACAACGATCGTGAACCAACTGTCAAACTATATTTACTTTGGCACCAAGTGAGTTGGGACTCTCCCCCGAAAGTGTCTGCAAGCATTGCTAATCCCGAAATCCTGTAATCCACAGCATTCAGCGCCTGTTCCGCACTGCCGACTACATGTACTCCTTCCCACCGCACCGCTCGACGGTCTACATCATGGGCATCCTGCTGGGCTATGTCCTGCGCAAGTATCAATCAGCGAAGCTGAGCAGCCTGCAGCTGCATCTGGGATGGACTGCGGCCACGATCTGTGTGCTGGCCTCGGTGCTGGGCCCCGCGCCCATGGGCGACATCAACTACGTCTACAACTCGACGCACGCGGCCATCTACGCGGCCTTCGCCCCGATTGCCTGGTGCCTGTTCTTCTCCTGGATCGTCTTTGTCTCGCACAATGGCTACACGAGTAAGCGAATGCCCCGACGCCAGTTCCCGCTGAACGAACTGAACAACTATTTTGTGTTGCAGATAAACTGACGAGGCTGTTTGCCTGGCGCGGCTTCCAGGTGTCCACAAAGCTGTCGTATGCCATCTACCTGACGCAGTTCCCCGTCTTCTTCTACAACGTCGGCCGAAGGCGTCACATTCATCACTACTACAACTTTGTTTCGATCATTGTGAGTGGAGAGGGGAGATAATTGCGGCAGTAGCAGCTAATCTCATTTGTTTGCTTTCAGCTCGACACCAACGAATTCATATCGATATTCCTGGCCTCTGTGGCCCTGACGGTGCTCTTCGATGCGCCCTTCCAGAACCTCAAGAAGCTGCTCATCAAGCGGCCCGCCCCCAGCTCCGCCAATGGCACCGCAAAGGTCAAGGCGCTGCCAGGCCCCGCAGTAGCAGTGCCACCACAATCAGAACAGTCGGGGATAGCGAGCACGCCAACAGCTACGCCGCCCAGCACTGCCCTCCATCCGCACCCACACTCCGAATAGTCTGGAAACAGACATTCATAGCTGTAAATTGTAAATGTCCTTTTTTAGCATTTAATGGCAATACGTTTAGATATTCTACCCCACCCACATAACTCCCTCTCCCTCCGCATAACTACGCCCAAGCGCATACCGTCCACCGTCCATCCCATCATACCGCTCCCCCACGCGATACCGATTCCCTCCCCCCCTCCCTTAGTCATAGTGGAACGCTTTATACATTGTAAATTCTACTATTAGTCAAATCAAGCGACAAATAAGAAACGTTTCGTAGTCATAAACCAATCAATCACTGCTTCTTGTACGATATTTTCTTGCTTCCATAATCCGGGTCCACGCAGTAGTCAGCGCACTGGACAGATACACGGGCTCCATCCCAGACTGCGGCTGTCGGACCCTTGTTTCTTAGATTACTTACTTACGTTACCTTAAGCGAGGTCGAATGTCAGCTTTTTTGTATATTCTAATTTAATTAATAAAATATATTAATATGTTGAAACTATCGTTGACCAGAACACTGTCCCAGGTATGCATGTATGCCTCTCCTAAGAGTCCCTAAGTATCAACCTAATCCGATCCTCACGCTATTGGGTTTCTGATGGAACTAGATACATACGTAGAGGTCATGGTACTCCTTATACTGGTACGGCTTGGCTCTGCCCTCCGAAACTCATTGCTAAGCACAGCTGCAGCGCAAAGAGTCGCTAAACAGATACACCAGTCGCCTGTCTCACACACAGCGCATACGCATAAATAATGCTCAGTGAATGGAGAGTAAACTTCTTGTGGCCAACCTTCTGCTTAAAGCTAGAACCTACAGGCCGCCATAACGAACAGAGCTGCTGGAAGCAATACAACTATGGAGTAACTATGCACCGATGTCCAGCAACGTTCAATGTGGGAAATGCTATCACTTTGGCATTGGCATCAAATAACCGAAAAACCGTTCCTTTTGTCTCTATATATTGTGCCGCATGTTGCAAATGGTTATGAACGCGGGTCCCTTATATGGTGCAGCTGCATGGCGGGACTGGGACTGACGCACAGACGGCAGATCGGGATTGCAACAGGCGGCAAAACCAACGGAAATGTATGCGGCATCATCTTTTGCTTGCTTTCACATTAAAAAAAAAAGTGGCGTACAAAAAATAAGCACATTTGTGTACCAGCTCGTGGTCTCACTGTGTCTGCGGGGTCTCCCTTTTGAGGGCGGGCACATAGTTCACATAATTCAACGAAAAAAAATAAGCACAAATTCACTTAACCAAATAACGTTCATTTATTAGCTGAAAGAAGGCTTTGCTTCCCCAAACGGGAAGAAGCTTCTCGAAGCCAAAATGGAGGCGGCTTAAGGCTGATTTTCTACAGCAAATGAAGGTTGTTTTCTTTTGTGTTGTTGTTTTGTTGCTGCGACGATGATGCTGTCCGTACTGGCCAAGGAATAAACCGCTGGGGCTTATTTGCCGGACTGGGTGGCCTTCTTGGGCTTGGCCTGGGTGCCCTCGCGGAATCCATTGCGGAAGCGACGACGGACAACCTTCAAGTGGCTCATGCGGCCAGTGCCGGTGGTCTTCCTCCTCTTGGCCTTCACGGACCAGTTGTCTGCATGGAGGGAAACAAGAAAAAGTTAGTATCGAGTCAATTCCAGCTAAAAACCAGCAAAATGGGAATAAACTTACACGAACGCAACTTGGCGGCTGGGTAGCCGCACTGGGCGCAAGTCGACTTCTGGATGTGGTACGAGGAGCGTCCACAACGACGGCACAAAGTGTGCGTCTTGTTATGGCGTTTACCAAAGCTGGAGGTACCCTTCGTCTGTAAAGGCAAAAAGTTTATTAGTATTGAATCCGTAGGTCAAACGATATAAACCAAAATAAAATCGCAAGGTTTGTTGTTTTTGTGGAATTGAGCCCTTTCGGCAGGCGGTGTACGATAAATGCAGTTCAATTCACATTTATCAACTCATTCACATATTAAAAACAATTTTATTAACACAAAATGTTCACTGATGTCACAATAATTTAACGATTTTATTTTGGTCCAACACAGAAATCTCATTTACCATCTTCAGTGGCGAATGGCGAAAAAAGAAAGAGACGCTGCTGTCACCTGTCAGAAGGTGGCGTGCTGGCAGAGTTGCATTTGACAGATGGGCATTAGTGTGACCGCGGATTTACCAATCATCATTTAAAAAATAGACCGAAAAATACCGTTTAAAATCATTTTTCTAACCAACAATTAAAGCAAGTTAGTGCACTCAGCACCAAACTAATAATTGTATTCGATTGATTAGTCAATTATTTACAATAAACTCTATTATTTGTACATAAGAAAGTTTAAACAAAATGGTAAACAAAAATCCCTGTATATTTAACACAGTAACTACACGTTAACTACACATTCGCTACATTATCATCGACAATTTCACTTAATTATTTTACATATTATGTTTAGCAGGCTGCTTTGAGGCCTAAGGTTCCTGTTCTCAGACTGACATTTTTGTTACATAGAACATTAGATTCCTCCATATACACATACATACACACATATATAGATTACCATTAATATTCTCGGTATTTCAAGCGGTCCCATAAACTGCTAAAATCATTGAAATAGAAAATAAATATAGAAAACAAGTTAGTCTCTGGCTTACATTTGAACCAGATTACAAATATCTTATCATCCACCTTTTTCCCTACCATCAAGGAAATTTTTAAATATCCTTTTCTGAAAATTATTTAACAAGCTTTGAAGGTTACTCTTTTGAAATGACCCGCCGATAAATTGGTGTGACAACAAAAGCCGGTTCCGTTCCATTGGACTCATTTTTGCGTTTCAACCAGCTGTGCACAACAGCGTACTGTTGAGCGCAAATGCGCCTAACAGGACAGACATACTGTTAACATGTTAACATAGCATATGCTGACAGATTGACATTTCACTCACACAACAAATTATTTCAATTGAAAACACTTCTAAGACTTTCTTGTGGAATCCCCATGCTCTGATAAAAACATCATACGACAACATCAAAATAAAACAAGATATGATTCTATACTTTGATTCTCCTTTTTATTTACGAAATATATTCTTTCCGAAATGCAATTTTCCACTTGATTGATTTAGAGAGTTTCGATCGAAAGTCGAGCACTATTCGTTTACCCTGTCAGATCCTCCTCCTCCTGTGTCCTGTGGAGGATTCGCCGACGCAATTTTGATACGATTTGATTAATTTAGATGCGAACTTGAAATCTTGATACTTCACTTGGACTCATTTTTGCGTTTCAACCAGCTGTGCACAACAGCGTACTGTTGAGCGCAAATGCGCCTAACAGCNGTCAGATCCTCCTCCTCCTGTGTCCTGTGGAGGATTCGCCGACGCAATTTTGATACGATTTGATTAATTTAGATGCGAACTTGAAATCTTGATACTTCACTTCAAGAATGTCTGCGAGGGACGGCTCTCCATTCTAGGCGTAGAGACTGCTGTAGAGACTCCATTAGGTGATCAGATGGATTGGGTTGAGATCAATTAGCACTTACCATTTTCGCAATTCGAATACACATAAGCTTCACAAAGCAGTGTAAGCGTCTTTGGGCATGATTCAACATGAGCTACAACTGGAGGTGGACCATCAGCTTGGAGGTGCTTGAAAGTCGGAAAATTGATGTATGTACTTACTGTACCAAGGCAGCGATAGGAGACACCCGATCTCCTATCGGGGAGAAGGTAGCATGTAATTGTTCCATCCGGTAGAAAGTCCGAGAAGTTGCAGGTGGGGCTGCAGCTTTAAGTTGTTCCAGCAGGTAGGCAAGTCCGGGAAGTGCAGCAACAGGAGGCCGTTCCTTACACTTTGTCTAAATGATTGAACATTAAAAACGAATTTGGAAGTCGCACTTGCTTAGCTTACTGAAAGTCCGATTGTTCCATTATGTTCGAGCGTTGCATTTAAAATATTTACAAATTATTTACATATGTACATAGTTTACAATATTTACAATTACAAATAAAAAAAAAAAAACTAAAAAAAGTGTAAATGTTATGTACAATAATTTTGAAAATTTATGTCCACTATTTATCCGGTGGCCCGCGGAGGTCTCTTGGAGACCTTTTAAACCGATTTTGTAACGCGCGGGAAACTATCCACATTTTTTCTAAATTTATTTTATTTCTCTATTTATTTTCTTTTCGTTTATTAATTTTAATAAATTAACTTTTTTCGAAATTTCTTATTTTATTTTTGCTTCGAGTTGTTGCCTCTTGGAGGAGCTCGGATCGACTGACGAAAATCTGGCTCAGGCCCAGGTCCAGATATATTTCTAAAATCGCCTACTTGGATTTGTGGAATTTCCGAGAGATTTTTCGTTTTTTTTAAACATCACAGAAGGCTTGGAGCTCAGGACGACAATGGGATACATTGGGCACAGTGGAATTGAAAATATGGTAAGTTGAATGGTTTTTAAAGAAGACTGAATGGATGACCAAGAATAGTTTGTATTGCGATTTCCGTACGAGCCAGCTATAAAATAAGAGTGTTGATAACCAAAATAAAGCCCTCCAATCGTATAAAATAATGGATTTTTGATTGGTATTCAATTCCAAAGTAGTTCCAGTGTAAAAATAGTTTGTATCCACGGACTTTGCATCAAATATATCAAGTGATGGTGGCCGGGTCCAAGTGCTGTACAATTCAAATTTGTTGTGTGAATTCCACTGTGCCCAATGTATCCCATTGTCGCCCTGAGCTCCAAGCCTTCTGTGATGTTAAAAAAAAAACGAAAAATCCCTTCGCAAATGCCACAAATCCAAGTAGGCGATTTTTATATTTATAGAAATATATCTGGACCTGGGCCTGAGCCAGATTTTCGTCAGTCGATCCGAGCTCCTCCAAGAGGCAACAACTCGAAGCAAAAATAAAATAAGAAATTTCGAAAAAAGTTAATTTATTAAAATTAATAAACGAAAAGAAAATAAATAGAGAAATAAAATAAATTTAGAAAAAATGTGGATAGTTTCCCGCGCGTTACAAAATCGGTTTAAAAGGTCTCCAAGAGACCTCCGCGGGCCACCGGATAAATAGTGGACATAAATTTTCAAAATTATTGTACATAACATTTACACTTTTTTTAGTTTTTTTTTTTTTATTTTTAATTGTAATTGTAAATATTGTAAACTATGTACATATGTAAATAATTTGTAAATATTTTAAATGCAACGCTCGAACATAATGGAACAATCGGACTTTCAGTAAGCTAAGCAAGTGCGACTTCCAAATTCGTTTTTAATGTTCAATCATTTAGACAAAGTGTAAGGAACGGCCTCCTGTTGCTGCACTTCCCGGACTTGCCTACCTGCTGGAACAACTTAAAGCTGCAGCCCCACCTGCAACTTCTCGGACTTTCTACCGGATGGAACAATTACATGCTACCTTCTCCCCGATAGGAGATCGGGTGTCTCCTATCGCTGCCTTGGTACAGTAAGTACATACATCAATTTTCCGACTTTCAAGCACCTCCAAGCTGATGGTCCACCTCCAGTTGTAGCTCATGTTGAATCATGCCCAAAGACGCTTACACTGCTTTGTGAAGCTTATGTGTATTCGAATTGCGAAAATGGTAAGTGCTAATTGATCTCAACCCAATCCATCTGATCACCTAATGGAGTCTCTACAGCAGTCTCTACGCCTAGAATGGAGAGCCGTCCCTCGCAGACATTCTTGAAGTGAAGTATCAAGATTTCAAGTTCGCATCTAAATTAATCAAATCGTATCAAAATTGCGTCGGCGAATCCTCCACAGGACACAGGAGGAGGAGGATCTGACAGGGTAAACGAATAGTGCTCGACTTTCGATCGAAACTCTCTAAATCAATCAAGTGGAAAATTGCATTTCGGAAAGAATATATTTCGTAAATAAAAAGGAGAATCAAAGTATAGAATCATATCTTGTTTTATTTTGATGTTGTCGTATGATGTTTTTATCAGAGCATTGAGATTGGAATAGGNATGTACATATGTAAATAATTTGTAAATATTTTAAATGCAACGCTCGAACATAATGGAACAATCGGACTTTCAGTAAGCTAAGCAAGTGCGACTTCCAAATTCGTTTTTAATGTTCAATCATTTAGACAAAGTGTAAGGAACGGCCTCCTGTTGCTGCACTTCCCGGACTTGCCTACCTGCTGGAACAACTTAAAGCTGCAGCCCCACCTGCAACTTCTCGGACTTTCTACCGGATGGAACAATTACATGCTACCTTCTCCCCGATAGGAGATCGGGTGTCTCCTATCGCTGCCTTGGTACAGTAAGTACATACATCAATTTTCCGACTTTCAAGCACCTCCAAGCTGATGGTCCACCTCCAGTTGTAGCTCATGTTGAATCATGCCCAAAGACGCTTACACTGCTTTGTGAAGCTTATGTGTATTCGAATTGCGAAAATGGTAAGTGCTAATTGATCTCAACCCAATCCATCTGATCACCTAATGGAGTCTCTACAGCAGTCTCTACGCCTAGAATGGAGAGCCGTCCCTCGCAGACATTCTTGAAGTGAAGTATCAAGATTTCAAGTTCGCATCTAAATTAATCAAATCGTATCAAAATTGCGTCGGCGAATCCTCCACAGGACACAGGAGGAGGAGGATCTGACAGGGTAAACGAATAGTGCTCGACTTTCGATCGAAACTCTCTAAATCAATCAAGTGGAAAATTGCATTTCGGAAAGAATATATTTCGTAAATAAAAAGGAGAATCAAAGTATAGAATCATATCTTGTTTTATTTTGATGTTGTCGTATGATGTTTTTATCAGAGCATTGGGATTCCAGAAGAAAGTCTTGGAAGTGTTTTCAATTGAAATAATTTGTTGTGTGAGTGAAATGTCAATCTGTCAGCATATGCTATGTTAACATGTTAACAGTATGTCTGTGCTGTTAGGCGCATTTGCGCTCAACAGTACGCTGTTGTGCACAGCTGGTTGAAACGCAAAAATGAGTCCAAGTGAAGTATCAAGATTTCAAGTTCGCATCTAAATTAATCAAATCGTATCAAAATTGCGTCGGCGAATCCTCCACAGGACACAGGAGGAGGAGGATCTGACAGGGTAAACGAATAGTGCTCGACTTTCGATCGAAACTCTCTAAATCAATCAAGTGGAAAATTGCATTTCGGAATGAATATATTTCGTAAATAAAAAGGAGAATCAAAGTATAGAATCATATCTTGTTTTATTTTGATGTTGTCGTATGATGTTTTTATCAGAGCATTGGGATTCCAGAAGAAAGTCTTGGAAGTGTTTTCAATTGAAATAATTTGTTGTGTGAGTGAAATGTCAATCTGTCAGCATATGCTATGTTAACATGTTAACAGTATGTCTGTGCTGTTAGGTGCATTTGCGCTCAACAGTACGCTGTTGTGCACAGCTGGTTGAAACGCAAAAATGAGTCCAAGTGAAGTATGAAGATTTCAAGTTCGCATCTAAATTAATCAAGTGGAAAATTGCATTTCGGAAAGAATATATTTCGTAAATAAAAAGGAGAATATCAAAGTATAGAATCATATCTTGTTTTATTTTGATGTTGACATCATCATGGTGCGTTCATGCTTTTCGTAGGATGGAGGTGTTACTTTATAGTCCACAAATAGATGATGAATCAACATGCCTTTGACAAAGTAATGATGCAGCCTTACATGCAATAGAAATGCCATTGATTTGTGCCTTTCCAGCAGGACAATGGCTCAAAACAGACCAACTAGAAAGCTCGAAGAGGTTGTGTGGAACAGTGCCTTTTATGCTCAGTCCCCTATGGTTCATAGGTAAGGGAAGTCTGGGAAGTCTCAACAAAATGTTAGCAAAGAAAAGATAGAAGTCGATTACAATTTTCATGTTTTTATTACTGGTTGATTGATTGATTGTTTGATTGGTTGATTTCTCGATGAATGGTCGTGAAATATACATAACTATGCACACTCCTACATACATATATCGGCATATATGTATATTGCAGCGAATATACATGCGTATACATACATATGGATGAACACTTTGAATGGGGGGAAGGACTTGCTGTTTTAATTTCACATGGGTTTGGGTTTTGTTTGTGGGTGCATAGATGTGTGCGTGTGCGTGTGTGTGTGGGTGTGGTGTGGGTAGTTGTGTTGTGTTTACAAAATAAAATTACAATTACAAAATATTTTAGACATACACAAAAAAAGAATTGTGAACTAAAAACTAAAGGGCAGATCCGGGCTGCCATATAGCTAGCCATTTAGTATGTATGTATGCATGTGTGTGTATGTGTGTGTGTGTGTGGTGTGGTTGATGTGTGAAAACGGAGAATGAAAAAGGAAAGAGAGACAGAGAGGAGAGAGGATCAGGAGTGATGTCAGAATGTCCACTGTTTCGGCGGGCGCGGCTTCAGTTGCGCTTCCTCAAGGCCAAACGACCGATGGGACGTTTCGGCTTTGGCTCCTCCTTCTGCTGCTGTTCCGATTCCTCGGCGGCGGCATCATCCTCGGCCTGTTCGGGCGTCGCCTTGACCGGCTTGGCAAGCTTGCGCCGGCTCACTGCAAGAGGAAAAGGTACACGCCAGTGGTGGTCGAAGGTCAGCCAGAGGTCACGCAAGGTGAGTCTGAGATCCACTACTTACATGCCGAGTTGCCCTTGAAGCCCTTGGATGGGGCCGAGGCCGAGGCCGGTGCTGGTGCGGCAGCCGGTGCGTGGTCCTCCTGCTCGCCGGAGGCGGACTCGTCGCTCTTCTTGGCCGGCTTGCTGGCGGGCACCTTCTCGGCGCGATGCTTCTTGGCGTTCTGCTGGCGGCGCTTCAGAGAGTTGAGGAAGTCGTCGTTGGAGCGGAAGGGCCGGATTACGGGTCCCACCTTCTTGGGCGCCTCTGTGCTGGTGGTTGTGGTGGAGCTGGCGGATGCCGCCGCCTCATCACCCTCCTCCCCATGGTCACCCAGACCCGCCTCCTCGTCGTATTCCTCACCCTCGCCGGCATCGTTATGGGCCGGAGCCGCTGTCGTCGTGGTGGTCGGCTTGGCCGCCTTGCCAACGGGACGGCGCAGGGCGGCAATTCTCTTGGCTGGCGACACGGAGCCGCCCTCCTCCTGGGCAGCCACTAGTCCATAGCACAGGGCGCAGATGATGAAGAGCAGGCAGCTGAAAGAGTTCAACGAAAAGGGAGAGCCCAGTTTAGTTCGGCTCTAATCGGGAAGTGGAGGAGCAAATTAAATGCAAATATTCTTCTGGCGACTGCCAGTGGAATGACGTGTCGGTCTGCCCGACCAGCCAGCCAGACGGGTTATTCCGTACAGAACCTGAAGTCGTAAAGACGTGTGCAAACGCATTTATGATATATGATCGTACATAAGCCTAAAGCATACATTTGTCGCCACTTGAATGCCATTTATTTTCCTGAAACATTAGTTCGAGGTTTTTAGTTTTTTTCTTCTCATTTTTTTTTTTTGTATTGTTTTATAGCTTTGATATAGTGGCGTCGCGTCGGCGCTGCAAGATCGCGATGTGCTAACAGTTATTAATGTGTAAAGGTCAGGCAAACGGGTTTGTTCACTTTCGATTTCGATTTTGCGTCCACGCCGAAGCCAAAACTAAATTCGAATTCGAATGCGAATGAATGTTGCTCTGTTTCTGTTTCTGTTTCTGCTTTTTGCTTTTTGCTTTTTGCTTCTCTCCTCTGCTGATGCTGCTGCTTCAGCAACGATGACGATGATACCGTGTCAGTGTGGTGGTTGCTCATTCTCAGTGCTCACATTTTATGCAAAACAAAAGAGCTGGGCACCGAACTCGTTTTGAAATTCTTTTCCAGCAAGCACATGGGTGCTTGGTGCTTGGTGCTAGGTTGCAGGGGGCGGACAGCTGACTGCAGTCTGTGTGTGTGTGTGTGTGTTTGTGTACGCTGCCAGTGTTGCCAAAGGAAACAGGTGCTTATGCAAAAAAGGCACCAACAAAATGGGCGAAACAAAAAAAACAAACCAGTTAAGAGCCACGCCACAGCGTCGCGCCACGCCAGAATCAATTTAAGTGCGCACATTGCAGTTGGCTAATAACGGTAAAATGTGTGCATGCCAAAAGGCGTGTACTGCATTCAGGTATTGTTTCTCCTTTTGCTTTGTTATTCTCGGGCTTACTGCCCAAAGGTCAGAGAATTGTCATCGCTGACTCAGGTCCAGTACCAAACACTTTTTAGGGTCATCCGTTGGAGATGCAGATAGGGACCAGACAAAAGCCAAATTATGCAACGGCAAAGGTGAAAGGCGTTGGCTTTCCAAGCCAGGTTACGTGCCTGGAATCTGTAACCTATTTGCTTCTCAATCGAAATTCACATCACGGCAGGCAAACTCCAACACCACTCCTGCAACGGGGCTGACATTTGACTTCGGCCGGGGCTGCTTCTTCGCAAAACCCAACCGGTTTCGGATTGGCCAACGGGAATACAACATAAGACAACACCAACTCAACTCAACTCAACTCAAATCCAATCCCGCCCCTAACAATGCAAACTACAGACCCAACACGACCCGTGGCCCGGGGTATGCACTAGCTGCCAGACCAAATGGTGGCTTGTATTTGTGTAAAACAGTCTTTAGTGCCTCTCAAGCTCTCAACCAGTTATATAAGCCGACATTATTTGCAAATTTATGATAAGCATCGCCGCCAACGCGAGTCGGCAACGATGCCGTTGTCGGTCGCTTCCCTGTCGAGAACTTCGTATGGCGGCCAGGGAAGGCGGAACCACTTGCTTAATGTGCAGCATCATCTCATCATTAGCATCTTCATTAGCGATTTTTAAGAGCATGGTTTGACTTTTAATGAATTTGATTCCGTGTCTTTATGCTGTGGCTGCCTCTTCCATGACAAGTCTCTTATTCTCGCTTCTGGTTTTGCACAGCGATTTGCTCATCAAAAATTTGGC